GGACCCCACCGGGGCTTCGCCCCTGGACCCCACATCCAATGCTCGCTTCGCTCGCAAATGCCTGTTCAGTATCAAAAAGAATCCCCCTATCAAAATCCTGGCTACGGGCTTGATGTGCAGAGGGGTTCAAGAACGTAAAAAGGTTGGGAACCACTGCCCTAGGCCTATCCTATGTGATCTTTTAAGTTTCAATGACCTTAAAAGTAAACCCCAATCAATAGATGGAGTCAGTGTTCTGTAAATAAGCGGAGGACTCCTAATATATAACCTAAACAAGCTGCGAGCTTTTGTATTCAACCGGTATATCCCATAATACCTTGCCTTTACTTTTGCCACGTTCGTCGATTTCACAGTCATCTCGCGCGTATGCTGGCCGGCTGGCTTGCTTTTCTGTTCAACCCCCTCAAGCGCCTGACACCGCCGTGGCGTGAACGACTTTGCGAAGTGCCTGTGTTGTCACGACGCTAGGTCTAGATTTTGACGGTTGGGAGATAGCAGCAGACATTTCATTTCTTGTCAACGTGTTATGTACTAAGTGAAATATCATGGGTGGTGCAGCTAGTTCTGAAGTACCTGGTGGGGGTACTGAAGGTTACCATGTTTTACGCGTATGTTAATTAACACACATTTAATTTAAAGATCCCTAGTAGGAGGCCGAGGCCTAGGCCTGGCCTAGACTGAATCCGGCTAGACTTAGGCCTACTTTAGCATACTTACACAGCAGGCTAGGCTGTAGCATTGACCCAAACTCATTGACTAGATAAGTGGGCCTAGGCTAGATTGATCTAAGATTGGTCTTGAAAAGGTGGAGGTCTTTGCTGGTTTAGCTAGGCCCTATAGGTGGGATTGTGGTTATTGGGCACAGGGCCTAGACTAAGCCTAGGTATGCTTTCTACTGCTGGCTCATTCAGAAGTAATAATACTAGGCCTACACAGACAGGCAAGAAGGAACCCTGTAGCTGCTTATATATTTATTACTCTGTTTTGCTGGGTCCAGTCTGTTGAAGAATCCATTTGCTGATTGTAAGATTTCTGATCACATTCTCAAATATTTCTCCCTACCCCTTATATTGGGACTTTCCCCATGATGTTTGATAGTTGGCCGTGATGCTTGGAACATTTCCATGATGCTTTTATCTGGGAACAATTAAATTATTTAACTTTTCCCTGTTTAACTGTTTATTTAACATGCTTCTATATAATCTTAAAGTGCAATTTAGGACATTTCAATGCCTCCTAACTAATTATTAAAAATACCTTGTGTCAGACCCAACTATGGTGGACTTAACACTTACCATGACACTTGCCCATGATGCTAGGGAGAACACTGATTATTATTATTATTATTATTTTTATTATTATTAATGTTATTATTCTTTAAAGTGTTTTTTTTTTCTTTCGCGCTTTTTTACTTTTGTGACAAATTGTTTAGCCTCATTTTGTCTGTATTTTTTTAAAGTTTTAATTATTTAAATATTTACTGTTTTTATATCGTCGATATTATTAGTGAGTTTATAACATTTGATCTTAGATACAGTTGTTATTGAAACATTGAGATAGTTATAATGATGAATGTTAGGTAGTAATATTTATTACTATAAATGAAACAAAATTTACTCGAATTTTAGGATAACGCAAGTTTTGTCGATGTTTGCATAAGACCGTAATATTTGATTGGAATGCTCAAGACATACGGCGAATGCATACGGGTTGACAGGTCTGCATGCTAACCTACCTAGGCATACTGTAGGTTGGAAGATCAGACAAACTAGGCTTAGCCCAACTAGTTTTCAATTAAATAAATTATACACACTGTTTTTGGTTCACTGTCGTAATAATTTATGTATAAAAGTGCGTTCTGTCGGTTCATCAATCCATGGAAGAAAGACTACATATCTAACTACTCAATGTTGTTGGAATATAATAATATATTGCCTGTCTTTGATTTTTTTTTCCCTCTATGATAGGCCTAGAGAATGAGATAAAATTACCTGACCTTTTTTCAAGAGGGGGAAAACCTTTAATTTTGAAGAACTTAATGATCATTAAAAGACTCCTCAGAAGTCGAGAAAGCTCATTTCTGGCCTTCTAGGAATCAACATTTTCCTGGGGGAGGACCCCCGGACCCAGACCCCTTTCATTTGGGGTTTTTTGGAAACGTTTTGAACCCCCCCTCTTTTACAGTAAATCCTGGATCCGCCCCTGTATTATTATTAATGTTCTTCTTCTTTCGCGTTTTTTACTTTTATGACAATTTAGCCTTATTTATCGTTGTACACTTTCATGTTTATAATTGGCTATGTAGTGCCACATTGGAATTAAGTTCTTGAAAACTTTCATAGACCATTCTTGCATCATCTTTTATTGTAATATATTTTTGTCCTGCCTTGTGCGAATTTTATCTGTTTTGTACAATGTTTTGATGAGAAATAAACTGAACTGATGATATGCCAAAATAAATATTGCATCAGAATGGTCTGTTAATTTTATTTGAGTTGTACTTTTTAATGTTGTTATATTAGTAACAGCAGTTAAAATAAAGCCAACAAACTGAGGTAAATACGAATTAACTGCACCTTAAAGTTCATGAATAAGGTGCGAAATCAAGAGGGGGTTTTTAAAGGTAACGCCCATGGAACATTACTATCAATAACCTTTTAATTTAAAAAAAGGCGTTTTAAGCATTGAACTATTGTTGATTCGGTGATTCATTTATTAACTGTGTTGCCTACTGTTTATGATCAACTGAAAACGTCATGCAAGCGGGTATGTTTATGGTACAACAACGACTTCGCCATCATCAAGTGCTGTGTATGTTAAAATGGATCATTTTCTATTGATAATTATAAGACAACGTTGTAAATACAGAAGTGCATACTTTTTCCGACATTTTTTTTATTATATTTTTTTCTCTGCAATTTTAGCCGATTGTATAACCACAATCATTTATGTACAGATTCATTTTTATAACAATAATGATATGATTTATTCGGTTCACTTAATCATCAGTAAATTAGGTAATTATTTTAATTAATAGGCTTAATAATAATATTAGTGTAGTATAATATAGTGCACATATCCATCTAATGTAAGATGTTCAGGGCGCTTGATATGTGGACTAGGAACTCGATCAATGACTTTTTTCGCCCCCAAGGGTCCCTTTGTATCTGCTACCCGGTAACCCGCTACCAGCAACTCTTGTCATCCATCACAGGGGCTGTCTTAAATTAAAAAGCCATAAATCTAAAAAATGTATCAATTATTTTAACAACAAAATTAAAAAATTATATTTAAAAATAAATTAATTATAAAGGTTAAATATGTAATATATTAATAATTTAGCCTAATTAATAGGCCCCATATTAATACAGTAATACAGACATACAGTACAGTAGGCCTATGTCTGGAAGTGTTGCCGTTTTGGTATATTGTCATTTTGAGTTATTGCTGTTTTGGTCATTGCTGTTTTGACCCATTGCCGTTCTAGTAAAAAAATGTTGCCGTTTTGGTTTTTTGCATTTAAGGTCATTGACGTATTGCCGTTTTGACTTGTTACCCTTTCCCCTTCCATAAAGGCCTAGGCCCTAGGCTAGAACTGCTCTGGTACTGACAAACCTCTGCTTGTTGAGCCTAGGTTTACACGTTTATTGGGTAATCGATCATTTGCTGTTGTGGCTCCACGCCTTTGGGATAAACTGCCAATAAATATTCGCTCGTGTCAGTCTAATGCTTTGTTCAAAAATGCTCTCAAGACGCATTTGTTGTCAGCTGCTTTTTCCTAGTTCTCTGGTTTATTTTTTCTTGCTTGCTTAATTGTTTTTAGTCAGATACTCCCATTACTTGAGCACCTGTGAGTGAGTAATGATGAATAGGCGGGCCCCTGTGCTTTCAATTGCTGTAAACTGTGCGGTGATGGTGTGATGATTTTTCGTTCCTTCATCCTGTAGTGCCTTGAGAACTACTGCAGTGGATTTGTGCGCTTTATAAATCTTATTATTATAACCAAGCATTTTAAATCTTTGTTTCTTCCATACTTAAGGTTTGCCTGTCTCTGAAACTTGATCCTTCTTAATGCCTTTATCCGAACTGCTCTCCAACATATTGATCCATTTATTGTTAAATTTGTTAAATTATCTTTAGTTTTTTGTCTATTGTAACTGTACATAGATGGATGCAAGAATTATTGTATCTGGTATTGCAGATAAAAGTAGTATCCCATTGATGGCTTTTGGATCAAATAAATATTGAATTAAATTGAATAATACTTCTAGACATAGGCCTTTAGTAGAAGAGTGCAATCTAATTTGTAAAATTATTTTGGAAACTGCACATCATCCTTTTTCTAATAAGCCCCAAATTGAATTTGGTTATTTTTATTTATAGGTTCAAGAAAACTCCCCTGGCCATAAAGCAGGACTGGAAGCATTTTTCGATTTCATAATTGCTATTGGAAACTCAAGACTAGTAAGCAGCAGCAATGATTAACTGTTTATTATTTTATTATTATTTTTTAAACACAGATTGTTAGTCTGTTGATCATTAAATTCAATTTGATTTATTTATTAATTTCTTTCATTTTGAAAAGAAAAGATTTTTATTTCAAGTTAGGGGGCATTTGGACAGCCCCTCAGGAGATGTTTACATCACCCATAATGACAAAGCAATCAACACACATTAGAAGAAACTGGGTGTTACTATTTTATACATTGTGAAACAGAGCTATATTGTTGTACTCAACACATTCTGTAAACAGTTCTCTAATTTGGTTTATTCTCTGCCGTTTCATTTTATATAATAAATATTAATTGAGGAAAAGATTCTTGAACTTTCGTATGCTCAAATAATTAATGTATGATTGAAGATGATTCTGAAAGAAATCAAACCATTGCACTACATTTTGTGTAATCGAAGTGTCTACCCTCTTTTTAATACTATTAATAATATGATTCTTTATTTTAACAGGATAAAGATGATGACACTTTAAAGAAGATCTTGAAGGACCATGAAGAGCGCCCTCTGAAAATGCTAGTGTACAGTAGCAAGTCTTTGAAAGTACGAGAAGTAACCCTGACTCCAAGTACCAGGTGGGGAGCAAGGTGGGGTGGTCAAGGCCTTCTTGGTGTCAGCATTCGATTTTGTTCATTTGAAGGTGCCAATGAAAATGTCTGGCATGTACTTGTAAGTTTTTATATGAAAAGCATTTCCACACATTTCGTATACAACATATTTTCTTTCAATATTCAAAATTGTTTATTATAATTTAGAAAGGGTTCAAGTCTGACAGGGTTTGAAACAAGAGGCCTTAGTTTAGGGTTCTGAGAAAAAAACACTGGTGAGGTAGAATGTTCCCTGCCGTAGGGATTTCAGAGTTTAGGATGATAAGAGTTGTGCTTTTAGATCTCAAACTACAATCACAATTAAAATTTGTAGTCCGACGACGATGATGGTTGTTAGACATTATTTACCTCTGACCCCTTAATAATGCTGCAACTGCATGCAATCTCTATATACACAATAGCATTTTATTATGCACAGGTACAGTATGGCATGAATTTTGAGACCAGAAGTGGAATTCTTGCAATTTACTCAATATAGGCTGAACTTGAACTGAAATAGGCCTACATAAATAATACATACATAAATGATTAACATATTTATTTATATTTTAAAATGATTGCTAGCTTGCAATGTAGTGATGAATATTAAACACCTTGATTTAATTTTCTTCTGTAGGATGTACAGCCAAATTCCCCTGCATCGCTGGCAGGATTCAGGTCCAATACAGATTACATAATAGGGGCTGATTCAATCTTGCATGAGGTAAGTCAGGAAACAAAATACTTAAGCAATAAGACATTGACTATTGCTGAATATGTATATTCCTATGTCACAGAATCTAAGATACCATGATCTGCTGGCAACTTATACATTCAATGAGCGATCGCCTTGCAGTTTGGGAAAGGTCATATCACATATTTATTGGTTCCCATGTGAAGCAGCATATTTATGACATCATAGGAAGCATTGTAATTTACTTGATAATATAATTGTGTGTGTGTGTTGGTGGCATGTATGTGTGAATACACTGAATTTGTATTCAATCACAAATTCGTTTTGAATTTTGGTGTATGGTTATTATTTGGTCATTGGGCTATTCACTTCCACTTTTAGGCCTTTCACACCCCAGGGATGTAGATAATGTGGGCGGAGGTGGGTGGGGCCAACCGGCCATGATGTTTTCCACCCAGTCTGAAGTTAGTTTCATGGTCCTCCACCCACTCTTATTAAACCACTTTTCCACTCTTAAAATCCACTCTTATTATTTAGAGTTAATGTTATCACCTATCCATCCTTAAAATATCTACCATCCACCCCTACGCTCACGCTAGACATTCGCCAATGGCGAGTAGGTGTTCCATATGTGCTTGATCCAATGACTGGGGTAGTAATGTGGAGCGCTTAGAGGCTTTGTGCATGAAGCGCTATATAAGAACAACATTATTATTATACTGTTTAGTGAAGAAAAAATTTGCATCATTCGGCAAAGTGACGAAAGCAAATTTTTATATACTGTAAACAAATTAAATTTTCGTCTAGGCTAGGCTCAGCTCTTCTTAATTATCTCGAGCAGCGGAGGTATCACCTAGCTAAAGCGACCCTATTTTCACTGCATGTTCAGTACTTACAGACACTGTCAAGTTCATGTGGGAAATCCCAGATAGATAAATCGTTCTGGGCATTTCTAACTTCGGCCCCAACCATTGTAGGTCTGAGGACTCTCACTCCGTACTAACCAATAATAGCTTCCGCCGCCCCTGATTACGGAGGAAATTTGTAGAGAATGAAATTTAACTTTATTAGTTTTTGTCATGCCATGCCGTTACAGCTTCATTCAGAAAACAAGTTTACCGTTACAACTTTATTCATAAAAAAGTTTACAGTTTACAGCTAAATTTACCGATACACCTTGAATGACTCGTAAATGTTCAGTTTATCAATTTTTTATACACAAGCTCTACATATACAATTTCAAAATACAAGGGAAATGCACTCTTTATCTTTCCATAAATTTGACATTAACAAAGGATAAACTGTAAGCCAGTAGCCAAAGAATCCACAAGTCTGAGCTCTTGAACCTCATCCAAAAAAACCACAACAATCATGCATCACTGGAACTAGGTGAAAGGTCGACCATGTGGTATTTTCTCTTTTTGCGTAATTTTTTTCTTAAAGTCAGGCTCCGGAGGAAAAAAATTTTTTGATATGTTGTAGAACTGATTTTTCTAAGACAGAAAAAAGTTGTTTGACGAAAAACTGGGGAACGGTGAATGAGATACAGATTTTTTAATATTTAAAAACTGGGGGAATAAGGTGTAAAAATGGGCAGTTACGCCGTGGAATATTATGCGCTGAACAAGGTGTCGCCGCTTTTTCCCATTACACCTTATAAAAAAATCCTGGGTAGAACACTGGATTCTTTATTGTTAAAAATAAATCTGTTTAATTTAATCTTCATCGTCTTGCACTGAGCTTGCTTCTGTAATACGCAATATGAAACTTTAGGCGCTCTGACGTCATCTCAATCGAAGCACGTATTTGCATGCCACCAGCGCACCCCCCCGAAAAAAAATTAACCAATTGGCGGGCAGGGGTTCGGAGGCGCGGTCTCTGCCCTCAGGAAAGGTCATAGTGACGATGAAAATGTGTTGTGTTTAGAAAAGAGTACACAAGACCGAAAATGCATGTCAAACAATATAAAAGCATCACTTGTATTAATAATTACATTTGATATGCTGTAGAGCAAAACAACAGGTAGGGCCTACTATACTGTACGAAACAGTCGCTTGTAATGCCAAAAAGTGAGGCACTCTACTCCCAATTTGAATTAGGGCCTAGCCTAAGCCCTAGACGTAACACTAGACCTACAGCAGGTCCGGTGGCCGTCGGTCCCACATATCGTAAACGATGGTCTTTGTTTTGTTTGTTCAATCATTAGTATTATTATTATTACCGCCTTTATGACTGGTTACAAATGAATAAGACATAAATAGGCAAGAAATTCATTTATGGAAGCGTTTTTGTGAAATTTTATTGGTTTTTAAATTTGTCTAAAGCATTTTCAATTTGGCAAAAAAAATTAAAAACCTTTCGCCAGTTTGGCAAAAGAAAATTTGTGAGCGTAGCACCCTTAGTTTTCTACTGCTACAACCCTG